AATGAGAGAGAAATTCCTGAACTAATCAAATTTTCATAGAGGGATTTGAAGCTAGGCACATAAAATAAGCAGGCAACAAACTCTAGAGAGAAAATTAGACAAAAATTTTCAATATGTGAAAAACATGATACATTATTGCAATTACTTTTTGTGCACTATGTACTCTCTAGCATGACTGCAGGTTTGGCAGAGGAGAGGCAGATGAGCCAGGTGCAATGGCTCATGTTCAGAATGGAGCTGAACACAGAGAGGTCTCTGTCAGTTTAGTCTTAAGCAATAAGAAGGTATCATTAGGAAGGAAGTTTTGTACGGACTGACTTGTAGCTGATTATCAAGAAAATTTAGAAAGGACAGACTTTTGCTTTCATAAAAATGCTGGAGGACAACAGCTACGAGACAAGAACTTTCACATAGCAAAAGTAGATTAATTCCTTATCTTACTGTAACTCAGACTGGATAAGTCATGAATATCTATAGAACTGCCAGGGAAGTTTACAGGCAGCGCTTATCCAGACAGAGAGCTTACACTTTTAAAGGAAGCAATTAATTAAAGTGCGCTTTTTTTTCCCTGTAAGTGCTCTAATTTCCTAGAAGATTGCCTTTACAGTGCATGACTTTACCTGGAAGGCTACTGAAAATACGTATATTTTCAAAACTTGTCCTTCTTCACAGTAGCAGAATTTAAGAATTTGCTTTGAATATATAGAAAAATTGTCTCATTTAGCATCATTTACAGATCACACGGTCATGTGCTCTTAAACTCATGTTGCGTTATCAGTTATTTACTGTGTTTTCCATAACCTATCAAGATTCTGCAATCCTCCTCCATCTTTAACTCATTTGGGAGAAATGTACACACAAAAAATTACAAGGCTGAAACAGCATCCTCTTGCAACTGTACAGATGCAGCTGACTCTTATCTTCTAGTATTAGTCCAAACCTCCTTAACACTATAAGCGACTGTGGTACTTTCAAAATTTTATTCTCCTTTAAACGTACTTCTGTTTTTAATATGCAGTTAACTGTAAGAAAAGGTCTCTGTCACAGATGCTTTTGAGTCTAACCATCAACAAAAGTGCACTAGAGAAAATGAGTAAAACTTACTAATTCTTCGTATCTTATACATTTGAAGTTCTTATAAGCCTCTTACGTTGTCACAACTATGTTCATTTGTTTGCTTAGGGTTAGGCTTGAGCTTTTCAAACACAAAAATAATTGCTATTTTGTTGTGAATGGAATTTTTCCCTAACATTTCATAGTTTTTATTTATCTCATTCAAAAAAAGAGAACAGTAAGGAACTAAATTCCTCAAATTTGCAACAGCTGTGAGACACTAAACTGCCAAAAGAACCTGACAGATCCCATGTCAACTGAGGCCAAATGCACATGGAATAAGAATTTCATATGTGGCATTATATTTCCCGTTTCTGAGATGCAATGGACTTAACAAGTCTCCATATTTAATTAATTCTTAATGATATGAACTGGTTTTAATCTGCCAGAAAAAAATTCTGTCAGTTACAAAATTACATCTGTAAGAAAAGAGAAGATGATTACAGGTAGGTCACGTGCTCAGCCATTAGCTGTCTTCATTTCCAGAGCCAGTTTTCTGAACTGAGATCCAATTCTATTTGTCACAAAACCAAATCATAATTCAGGAACGTGACTTAACTCAAAGGAAATGCAAAGTGATCTGAACTACACTGGCATTAAAAATTATCATCATCATCATTATTATTACTATTATGCATACTTCTTTTCATTAATAAAATCCCACTGAAACTAATGGGATTCTACACAAAACATGTCCCACATGGGTGGACTTCAAGACATATGGCATTAAAACAGGTATCTTCAACAGATGGAACCTAAGAACTTGCCTTTTTAGAAATTATTTGCAGTTTGAGGCATCTCTTATAGCAAAATTTTCAAGAAAAAGGGAGGGAGATTTTCAGCACTTTGTGAAAATTAACAGTTTCCTAGTAACCTCAGAATGATCAGATGGTCAATATTTTGATAGCTACAAACAAAACCAAAGGCTGCATGATTCCACTTTGACATTCAATAAATTAATCCAAGCCCCTTTTTTTTTGCCACCAAGACATAACACTGCACTGTAGCTTTATTATGAGAATGGGTCTGCAGTTTCTTGACTTTTTGGAAGATTCTGTTTTCATGTCTCCTTCATATTTTCTTCAGATAAATCTTTTTTAAAGAAAATATTTGATGTTACAAGCTCACATGGAACAAGAAATTATGTTTTAGAGAAGATATTAACATGTTATACAAAGACATAAAGATTATTTGTTTCTGAGTTAGCTCTGGTAATAAACTAACACATGCAGTATCTCAATCTCATTTAATTTCTAGTTTAAGACTAGTTATTTTTCTGGCAATATGCTACATTCTGGACAGTAGCCTAGCTATGGGTGAGTAATGGTAAATGGTTGGGAGTCATTTTTAAATTAAATTAAAATTGTAGTGCGTTTTCAAAGACTTGTAAAATTAGGTCAATGCCAAAGAAAGTGGTTTGCTTTGTTAATACCTTTGATAAAGGAAGACTACAGAGAAAGCCTACTTCTTGTTGGCCTTGAGAGACTCCTAATGTTTGCCAGTCACTAGTTTTAGGAGGTGCAGTTTCAAGCTTGTTCGGGACAAGTCCATGAAAATGGAAGCACTGCACAGCACCATAATACAAGTATGAAATGCGTTTGCATATCCATACTAACATAAATTCTATTTATTGTATTTTCTAGGAAGCAACAGAATTACTGTGAAAATCTGCAAAACCTCTTTGGAGTGTATTTGATGTGGAATTTATCCTTTAATATCCTCAAATTGTTTCAATTCTACTTTGGATTTATTTTGGATTCATGAATATTATCTGTTTGATTTTTCTGTATTCCTCTGATGACCACTGTTTACAACAGTTATGTGATCCTTTTTGCAAGCAGCTGTAGTCAGTTCTCCCCCTATCTGCCCTCTCTTTATATTAATAGAAAGGTAGCGGAAAAAAATCCTCAGGCCACAAGGCAAAAGCTAATTTCTGGGACTGGAAGATGTTAACATAATAAGAACACTATTGAAAAGGTGTCTCAAAAATTTGTTTTCCTGCAAATGATCTAGCATCAGCCAATTCTGGTGACACACGGCCACCTTAGGTAGATCTAGTGTGATGCTCTGACCCTGTTGCGTGGGGGAGCTGAGGGTGGGTTTCTTACAGGCTTGTACCTTTGGCTCATGACTCAGAAGGAGCAATGAGATGGCAGGGTTGGGGCTTTCCCTTCCTTCACCCCTCTGCAACAGAAGAGCTTAAATTCACCAACTGGAACATATTTTACAGGTCTTATATCTAAATTTCAAAAGCTCTCAAACGAGTATGTTTACTGTTCAACAAAGGCACTTCCCTGTGTGATGAAGAAAGTGATCCCAAGTTTAACTCTTTATTTCTGGTACGCAAAACCAGGACAGATTATACAGGATTTCTGTTTACTGACTAAGGTATGTAACTCAATGCCCAATCCAGTGATCAGCTGTGACTAGAAAGTTAGTGTCTCCTAATTTAGATTAAAGGATATTAATAGAAACTTCTCAGCCTGATCTCAAGTTAAGCATATATTTATTTATTAAAATCCCCCTGGTAGTGTAATACACATTACAGCTGAACAACTCAATGTCTCTTAAAACCACAGTAAATTACTTTCTGATCTTTAACTTATTAGGAGACTATACTGAAGTGCCCCTCTGAGAAAAGCAAATAACACTTTCAAGGAAAGGAAAAAACATTGTGATAACAAGTAAATCAAGCTTTTCTCCTTCAGTGACTAATTTCCTCATATGCAGTGGCTAATCACTCAGGTGTGGTGAATTACTCCTCCTTTGGAGCTTTCAATAACATTTGTTGGACATCTTGAAATCTCAGTATTTTAAAGAAAGATGAACATTTTTCTCCTTCTATAGGATGAGGAAACGGTCACCATTTTCAAACTCTACCTTGGAGGCACTCAGCTCTGCTGAGAGTCTCAGCTTGAAATTGCTTTACTTAGCAATGTATTTGAAATTAAACTGTCTGCCCCAGAAAGAGTGGAAGTGTCTATTGGAACCACCCATCCCTGCAGTCTTCAGTTCCCGAGGGCTGAGACTGAATCCGTATTACAAGTGAACATGCATTTAAATTTCCGAAAAGCTGTAAATACAAACTTTCAAAGTCTGAGTTTTTGAAAACGTAAGCTGTCATGTACATGCTTAGTTACCTAAATAAGTGACCTGGTCTTCACATGACCTGAGTACTTACAGTCTGGATTAGAATGAACAGGAGACTGCTCATAGATAATCCATTTTCTTTAAAAATTAGGTCACTATTTGGTGTGCAGAGGCACCTAACTCTAGTTATAATTTTTAATGACTTTTTTTTTAATACTTTACTTTCTGTTATCTTCAGATTTTCCTGTCTAAGCACACATCAGTAATTACAATGTGTAATTTATGAATAAAACCCCCCAAAACAGGCAAATAAACAAAGTATTTTCTGATATAGTTCATATTAGAACCATATTGGTTTCCATAATAAATAATTTTCCATACAGCGTATATCAGAAATAAGAGATCTAAACTAGGCATATCTTTAGCTCTGAATCCGAGAATAACTACTGCACAACCATCAATAAAGTGTCTTCTGCCTCACTGAGACTTTGTCACTGTAAATAATTACATTTCCTGGAGCAAACAGAAGATGTAAACAGTAAGGTAGGTTTTGATGAATTTTGAGGCTTCCCCCCCACCCCCCGATCAACTCCAAATCTGACTTTAATAAACTTTTAATAAACTTTGAAAAAGGTAACACCACATTCATTTCAATATCAGCAATTCTTGCACAGGAATTACATGACATATAATTATGTTTTTAACAGTGGGATGATTAAACAAGACAGACTGCAATGATGTGTTCATTCATACAATACATATTTCCCAAAAGAAACAAGAAAGATTTCTACACTGACCATAGTCTGTATTTTCCGGCTCCCAACAATTTGATGGCCAAAAATAGGGTGTCTACAGACAAAACAAAAAGTAGGGAACTCAAGTTAGACAATGCAAAGATTATACAGTCCTTGGATTGATACTGGTTTTCAGAGTCAATTAACATTTTTGGTAGATCTATTATATTTGTTAACTTGACAATTTTGAAATAGGCATCAAAACAGAAAATTACTTTTGTACGCTTCTTTATTGCACTAGTGTCAGAATGGCATTGAAAAAGAACAAAGTGTTCTTTCTATTCTTAAATTTAAGGGAACAAAACCCACAAGGTTACATAGTGAGGTTCTTTTGCATCTTCCCTAGCAACATACCTCTCACATGTCCTGAAGAATCAGTTTTAGAAGGTGAAAAGACAGAAGATACTTTAGAGTATATTCAGTTCTTCATTTTGGAGAGTTTTCATTGGTATATATTAACATTCAATACCCTTTCCTAGGAGTTATTTGTTTAAAAATGCCACTAAACACAACCTGTTTTCACAAAGTTATCAAAGTTCTTTTCATCTGTTGAAGTCTATTTCTTTTTCTAATTGTTTACCAATTGTGATTTAAAATGTGATTTTTTTTTAAATGGAAAGCCAATAAAAGTATCGATAACTAGTTCAATACTATGCTTATTAAAACTCTGCGAAATGTATTGTTAAAATAATTCACTTCTACCAAATGAAAAATATAAGACCATATAGGCATTTTTCATACAAATCACTTATTTTTTTTAAAATCATAACTTTTTGGTAAAATGTAAAGGGTTATAGTATTTTATACATAACGTATTCATGTATATATACATACGCACACATACAGAGAATTATATATTATTTGAGCAGCTTAATTAATCTCATTAAATATGTGGACTGGCCTGGGTGATATTTCAAAACACAGGTGCTTCCTTAGGAAAGACTTCTGCTTTACTCTCTGTTTCTTATTGTTTTTTGTCAAAGTTCTCCCAGCTGCAAAAATGGAAACCTCTCTTGCTGCCCACTTCCCTCAAAATTGTTTTAATGTTAATGTGGAAACCAACAGGGCTGAAGGGTGACACGTTCACACCTACCGTCAGATTAGACATATATTGTGAAAAATCTCTCTCTATTGTAATAATGACCCATCAAATGTAATAGGAGCAATTTAGAACTGGCTATTTATCAAACAACAGAATGAGTTAAAGGGTAAAAAAGAAACTGTCACAAGCTGACTTCAAAGGCTGAGATGTGTTTCTTGTAAGCTGTTTTGTGCTCTGTAATGAAGCAGCAATAAGTCCTTCTCCTATCAACTATTCCTTCACAGTGCCACTGAACTCAAAGTCACCAGTATAAGCACAAATGGAAAGAAGCAGAGGAACTCCTAAACAATGAATGGCAGCACTCAGTGAATCCTGGAGAAGCAAGAAGCTATAAAAGTAATTTAACAATCATATAAAGCATAAAGTCACCATCATTTAAACATACAGTTTTCAAACTCAGAGAGGGACAACAGTCCTTCCTTAGAGGCATGAAGTGTATTTTGGGAGACGAAAAGCACAACTACATCATTTTCCTTCTAACAATAACTTTAACCTCTGTTTACGGGTTCAAGCTGAGCTTCTGGAAAAATGATGCAGTGAGGGTTACTAAGTACATAGAAACCATATCCGCTCAGGCAGCTCCTGAGCTGAAACTGGCTGGGGCTCAGATTTTATTTAGGGGGGAGTAGCAGTTATGGTGGAGGATGACTGGAGAAAGGTGCAGAGGAAGATCTCTTTCACAAGTAAAGAGGCAGAGGTTCTTCCAATTGTGGGTATACTTATTGCAAATTCCCTATTAAAACTCCTCATGTATACTTAGGTTTTCTCCTGACAAATTACATATACTCCTATCCCAGCTGAGATTAAAAAACAAATTCTGTCTTCTGATTTTGAGCAAATCCCCAAATTGCTTTTGGCATTCATTTCACATCAGGCTATGAGGAAATATTATATATTCACGGCTATGTGTTTATGATATAAGAGAAGGACTCTATTGTTTCATACATGAATGAAAAGCTATCCCTGGTGAGCAAGAATACTGCAAGCAATAGTTCTGAGAGGCTCTCAGAGAGATTATATCAATCAAGGATAAATCTGGTATCACTGTTTTCAGTAATTAGTTAAAATAACACATTAAACTTTTATTGGGACTCACATATCAGTGGTGGAGGGAGTGTGGGCACTACATAGAATATGGGAAAAGGGGGCAGGATCTTCAATGTTGTGGAATGCCACTTCAGCTCACTAGGAGGCAGAGGTGGCCAAGAATTTTATGAAGGACGAAAAGGTGCGTCCCAATGGCAGGACCTGCTTCCAACAGAGGGATTTGGTTCAAACCAATGCTGAGAAGCGTGAAAATGCACCGAGGACACTTTTTCTTTTCTGAAGCTGAACAAAACTTTCGAGGGAACAGATAAAATAGATTTTGTTCCACTAGAGAATACCTGACCAAGACTTTGCAGGTGTGTAGTACTTGGAATGAAAGTGACTGCAGGATGAGACTGGTATTCTGCAAAGATGAGCACAGCAGCTTGAGGGCCAGCAAGCTCAGAGAACAGACACAGGAGGTCTCTTGGGAAAGTAAACCGAGGGATAAAGAGATGGAAGGAGGGTGGCAGTTGTTGTAAGAGACTGTGCTAAGCATCCAAGTACCTTTAGAGAGAAAGCGTAGTGACAGGCCGGTGTAACCACACTTGCAATCTCCAATCAAATAAACAGGAAAAAGAGATCATGGAAAAAACACAAATTAATGGGTGTGCTACTAAGGATGAGTTAAGCCTCCCTGTGCCAAGGAGACAAAAGCAGAAAAGTTAAAACAGAACATGAGTTTTAATTAGCAAAGCACACAGTAAGTCATAATAAAAGGTTTCGATAATGTGTTATAAGGTAAGCCAAAAAGAAACCCCAGCAAAAGGCAAACATTATGAGAAAGGGGTTCAAATAACAGTTAGTACAGATAAGTACAGAAGATTATTAAATGCCTTCCTTTTTTGAGTCTCCAGAAGGAGGGAGACTGTGATCAGATAAAGATCTTCCTGCCCAGGGAATGACACGCAGGCGTGAGCTCTCCTTGCTGGTGCTCTGAACTGGGCAGGCACAAGCTGCCTCTGAACCGCAAGCCGTGACCCTGCCTGCATGGTGCTTGGATGCATTTAATGGGACCTGCTGAGAAGTACAGCTCATCAGCTCAAGCACTGCAACGTGGCCGGAGCTGGCCTCCAGCCAGCTGACTCCCAGTGGGAACAAAGTTCAAGTCTGCCTGCAATCAGCTTCACAAACATGCCCAAAATTAATTTTGACATGAAGATAAGACTACAGGGAAAAGTACAGGGGAAAAAACCAGGAAGAGAAATATTTATATGAGGTCAGACAGTTCAGGTTAGAGGCCTGATGAAATTCAGCATAGAAAGCTTAAGGAATTATTGTGTTTTCATGTGGGTAAACTGTGTTTATTTGTAGAAAACAAAAAAGCCGCACCAAACTAAAGAATGACTCCTGGTTCCTCAACACTGTGAGTTATATGCATGTGTAAATATTATGATGAAATTTTTGCTCTGGTATTTCTCTTTCTCCTCTATCTCTAACTCTCTATAATATCTAGTATCTAACTGGCAAGAGTTATCAAAAGTATTGGATTATCTGCATGATGGTTAAAGGGGTGCAAGTTAGCTGAAGGGCAAGTTATACATGGAAAAAATATTCATTCAAGTAACCTTTGAAACATGGGCAGTTATTTAAAAAAAAAAATCACATAAGGCAGAGGAGCCTTAGAAGACTACAGCAAGGGGAAGGTCTGCCTTTTTCAGAAAAGGGAAAAAGCTGACATTTTCTGTATTCTAATCTTTCTAGATCTAGTGTGTAGACTGAACAATTGTAATACACTATCCATTTCTCAGTCCTTAAAAGCTAAAGGTTACTAACATCTGGATTTTTCAGAAACATATTAGGCCACTGACAGTGTAAAGCCCCTACTAGCTGAGAAATAAACAGTAGACGTTATGTATTTTGACCAAAGCAAAGTCCTACCTTACTTTCTTACCAGCAAGTAAAGAATTATGGTTTCACCATAAGATATGTGCTCAAAAGCAGCTACAGCTGCTGATAAAGTTGTATTCAAAGAGTACATAACTATTATTCACTTTCAAAGCAGGAAATGGCATTGGTGGGTGCAGAGACAAGGAAAATTCTCCTAAAACCAGGCACAAAACCAGTGGTAAGGGACAGGATTAAGACTTAAACAGAAAGAAAGTCCAAAAAATCAAGAAAAATCTTTAAAAAACCCTAGACACTGAAAATGCAAAATGATAAAAAAATCAGTCTCTGATTAAAAGATTTTTGCAATGCTGTGATTGTATGGAAAAAATCCATCAACAGCAAACTTGTGTGCAGTTAAAGTGACTGATGTTTTCCCAAAGGTGTCTTCCACATTTTCTTTCCTAATTGTTTGGCATTAACAGTGATAAAGTTCTAGTCTTAATCTACCTTGCCGTGTGTCACGCACACTGGATAAACTGGAATACCCCTTGATAAATTGTAGCAATAAAAGTAAATCTTGAGCAACATCACTTTTGGCTGAGAAGAGACCCAGGGAGAAACTTCTTCAGAAGGCTCCCACGATAGTACAATTCAGTTATTAGAATGATACATTAAGATTCTGGGGAAACATGTATCAAGGTGCCCCGTCCAGGCTGGCCCTTGCGTTCCCCAGACAGCCCCTTGCCTGTCTCTGTTCTTCAGGGACATGCTCTGTGTGCATTCCCACTGCCCCCGGCTGCAGTCGTCCTCAGCCCCAGCATCTCATGGGCTCCTACCTGCACAGAGATTTATTGTCCCCACCTCTTCAGTCAGACAACATTGAGCTCGCACAAGGTCTCGGACAGAAATCTGTGGAACCTTTGACTCCAAAAACCCGATTTTCCTACAAATGCAGTCTGAAGTTTACTTTGTCCCTTAGATGTTACAGACTTCAAATGGTTTAATCACGTAACACGTGACTATAAGGTATGTGCTGA